CTAGATGGTCTTCCCAACGAAGTTTATTTGAGGTTGTCGCCCGTTTTTGTTCCTTTGCTGGAAAGGATTTTCAACCACTGGATGAAGCAGGGGTCTATACCTCAACGCTTCACCAGGGGTGTGATCAAGTTGCTGCGTAAGGACAAGAACGGTGGGGATGGGTTAAGGAATTTTAGCCTTTTAACCATGTTAAACACTGAGTTAAAGATTTTGGCGAAGATCTTAGCCAACCGTTTGCAGCTTGTCCTGTCTAGTCTGATTGGCCCCGAACAGACTTGTGCTGTGAAGGGCAGGACTATTCAGGATAACCTTCATATGGTACACTTGATCTTAGAACAAGTCAACAGTGAAGCCGCGCTGATCAATTTAGATCAGTCCAAGGCCTTCGATAGGGTTAACCATCGATTTCTGGAGGCTGTCCTTTTGGCGGCCGGTTTCAGAGCCGACGTTCGCTCCTGGATCCGACTTTTGTATGCGATCCCCGGTGCGCTGGTGGAAGTGAATGGCGTAAGATCGAAGCCTTTCGTATTGTCTCGCTCCATTCGTCAAGGTTGTCCGCTCGCCTTTTAAAATTTTACGTTCTTGCGTTGGAACCTTTCCTTCGCAAGTTAAAGGCGAATCCGGTCCTGCGCGGAATTTCCCTGCCTGGGGCTTCCACCTCAGCCAGGTATTCTGCCTATGCTGACGACGTTTCGGTTCTTGTGTCGAGCAGAGCCGAGATTGACGAAGTCAGCAAAGAGATCAGTGGCTATGAGATGGTGACAGGGGCCAAGATCAACCGTGATAAGTCTGTTGGCTTGCAGTTGGGTGCGTGGAAGGGAGTTTCTCTTCCCGGACCTTTCCTCTGGACGGATGGGCCGATCAAGATACTCGGCGTCTGGTTTAAGGTTTGTAGTTTTTTTTATTACTAACACACTGTTTGTTTAGTTTTCTTGTAAATATTTTATGTCATATTGTATATATTCATTGGGGATCTTTTTAAAAAGTGTTGTTTTATGCCCCTCCCCCCTACGAACAATATTTGTACATAGGGGGACTATTTAGGATTTTCATTGAGACGAAGAGGTATTTTGGCGGATGTAGTATGAAAGGTATGGATAAATGTGTTGTTTTGGTGATAGAAATAATGTTTTGTATGATAGGGTCAGTGGTTGTGGCTAGCTAAGTTTTATATTAAGACAAGTAATGACCGTCCTTTTCCCCCAACCCCCTTTTGGCCTTGTGCCACATTTGTTGTGTTTTACGACAATAAATACTAGTGCTCACCTCTACTTCACGACAATGGTGTCGCCGATAGGATACTAATTATCTCTGGAAGGTCCAGAATTCGTAGATACTTGGATTCGTTGTTTCTCTGCCACTGCGAGCACAAAAAAGTTGAAAGACAACAAGGAAAATGGAGGCGAAAATGAAATCACGGATTTATTTTTGGTTACAGCTGTATGCGAGGCGATAATGAAAGTCTCCACCATGGCATATCCCTTAAATTTGGAAGACCTGACTTTCGAAAAAATAAGTCAGATTATTAGAAGAAATATGAGACCCAAGAAAAGGCTGGTAGTGGCAGAAAGAACGAAATTTATGTCGCTGAAACAAGAAATGGACGAACCAATTATAAAATATTTACACCGCCTACGAAATGCAAGTAGATATTGTGAATTTGAAAAACCTGGACAAGACGAACAGACTATTGAAGAGGACTTGATTCAATTAAGACTAATTGAAGGTATGTCCAATGCATCACACCGATATAAAATAATCGAACAATTACAAATAGGAAATATGTCTTTAAATACATGTATTGACTTTATGCAGCAACAAGAACTAATACAGAAATACCACCATCATAAAAGTCAATCCAGCGAACAAAATTTCGCTGATACGTACATGTTAAAGATGATAAAAAAAAAAGTGTTCGTATTGTGGACGTGAACACGAAATAAAAAAGGAAAAAAATGTCCAGCATTTGGGAAAACTTGTAATAATTGCTTAAAAAAGAACCACTTTCAAGCAGTGTGTAAATTAAAAAAGAAAAATATTTAAAGAATTCAAGAAAACGACACCGATAAGGAAGTTTTTGCATTGAAAAATAAAACTTTGGAACATAAGAAAAAAAGACATTATAGTAAAGGTCAAAATGAATAACTGCAATTTAGATATGCAAATGGATACTGGGAGTGAAGTAACACTGATACCCAAAAATTTTTGGGAATACATTGGTAAGCCACCTTTACGAAAAAGCAGTTTACAACTCCAATTTGATGGGTTGGTTATAAAAACATTAGGATACTTTGAAGGTTCCTTAGAGTTAAAAGAAAAATTTGAAGTAATACCTATAATTGTTACAAGTTGTACAAAAAACCACGGGATTATTGGAAATGATGTGCTTAATATAAATGTTGATTAATGAAATAAAAATGGAAGAAACTGGAAAGTTAAAAAACTATGAAGCAAGTTTAAAAGTAAAAGAAAATGTTTCCCCCTCTTATTATGAGGCATGAAAATTACAAGTATATTTATTACCATTAGTAGTGACAAAACTACGTAAATTAGTAGAACAAGACCTTCTTGAACATGTTCTGCCTGGAGGTAGCAAGTGGGCATCATCGATTGTAGTTTTGAGGAAAACAGATGGTGATTTACGTATTTGTGGAGATTACAAAATAGTAAATCACAAAATATGCTCGGATTCATATCCCATACCTAATGTTGAACTTGCATTACATGCACTGGCAGGGATGTCCGTTTTTTCAAAAATAGATTTAAAAAGGACACCAAATACCAATAGACGAAAATTTCAAAGAAGTAACCACGATAAATACGGCAATAGGGTTACTAAGATGGAAAAGGATGCCATATGGAATAAAAACTGCAAGCGTCATATTTCAAAGGGCCATTGAACAGGTTTTGGGAAATGTACAAAATATGATTTGTTACCAAGATGACATATGCATAGGAGCTACTAATGAAAAGGAATTAAAAGAGAAAACTGACTTAATCTTGAATAGATTAAGAAATGCTGGAATGTTGATAAATGAAAAAAAAATGCGTAAGCAATTCTAACAAAATATCTTTTTTAGGTTATTCCATTTCAAAAGAAGGTATATCACCAGACCAAGCATTGATAGAAAAAATACTAAAAGTAGCTACACCTACAAATAAAAAAGAATTGGGGTCTTTTTTGGGAATGGTAAATTTTTACAGGCAATACTTACCGAAATACACGGACTTGACGGAACCGTTTGGAAATTTAAGAAAAAAGAATGTGGAATTTATGGGGTCAGACGAACAGAAAAAAGCTTTTGAAAGATCGAAAGAAATTATGTCAAAGAAACCTGTAGTGAAAATTTTTGATCCAAAAAAAAGGACATAACACTCACTACAGATGCAAGTGAACATTCGATATCGGGAATATTATCACAAGAAGGACATCCGATAATGTATTTGTCGAGAAGGTTAACGAATACTGAATTTAATTACTCAAACATAGAGAAAGAAGCATTGGCTATCGTGTGGACAACTATCAGAGCCCGACAATTTTTAATTGGAAAAAAAATTTCCTTTCAGAAGTGTTCATAGACCATTAGAGTTTATATTTAATCCAAGGAAAGAATTACCCAAAGTCACGACATCAAGGATTCTACGATGGGCGATAAGATTGATGGCATTTGACTTTGATATAGAGTATGTCAAAGGAAATTCAATTCCACATGTGGACGTACTATCAAGATTGAGGTTCTACAAGGAGTCAAAAGATAAAACAGAGGAAGAATTTGAAGATTCATTCCTACACTTGATAGAGACTGTTGTTTTGTCTTTAGATAAAATGGCTGTGGAAACGAGACATGATCCGGTGCTAAGTAGGATAGTATCGAGAATAAGGAAAAACTCGTGGGGAAATTGTTCTAGGGCGGAAAGACCTTATAAAGAAATAAGACACAAATTAACAATAGAACATGGAGTGATTTGCAATGGGGACCTGGTAGTTCCCCCAGAAACACAAAGAAAACCAATAATAGAAAGTGTACATAATGATATACACTGTGGAGTAGTGGCCACACAAAAAAGGATAAAATTAGAAGCTTGGTGGCCAGGATATTCAAGAGACGTTGAGGAATATGCAAAGAAGTGTAAAAAAAATGTAAAGAATTAAGAAACTTTACACAAAACAAGTTACATTCGTGGCCCAAAGAAGTGGAGCCATGGAGTTGGGTCCATATGGATCATGCATACGTTAATGGAGTCAGTGGTTACTTATTAATATCAGTAGATTCCTTTACAGGTTGGCCTGAAGTAATCCGGGTTACAAACAAGAAAAGTTCTACTATAAAGCAACTTCTAAGAGTCATATTTTCTAGAAATGGGGTACCAAAAACTTTGGTATCTGATAATGCACCAGAATTTTGTGAGGAAGAACTTAACGTATGGTTAGAAAAAATAGGGTGTAAACCATATAAGACTCCTCCATATCACCCTCAATCAAACGGATTAGCAGAAAGAATGGTGCAGACTGTAAAAAAAGGGGCTAAAAGCATGCTCTCAGCAAAAAGAAAAAAGTTTTTCTACCGAGGCTGCTTTTAAGTTATCGCACAATACCACATGCGGGAAGACTCGAAAGCCCATCAGCTTTAATGGGGAGACAGATTAGAGCTCCTCTAACGATGTCATATTCTACAAATGAAAAGATGTGGTACAAAAAGAGCAAGGATGCAGATCAGGAAGGAGCCGAATTTATAATGCAAAAAGGCCACAATACAGCCATAATAAATAGAGAGAATGGCGATAGTGTGTTGGCCTATGTTGACCAAATAAGGACCCAGAGTGAAAAGGAAGAACTAAATGACGAAGAAATGGCAATTCCATCTGATAAAGAGTTGGTAGAACAACCATTACAGAAGGAAATGTCGGAAGAGGAAACAATGCAGGATGAAGAGGAACAAAAGGAGCCTGAAAGTTCGGAAGAAGAACAGATTATGCAAAAAAACACATGTGACTACAGCCTAGACCGGGACAGGTCCAGGTCTTCCAGGGAAAGAAACACAGGAGAGAGAGAAAGAGAGCAGTTTGAGGAAAATATCAGAAGGAGTACAAGAGCTACAAGAGGAATAAAAAGCCCTTAAGGTTCAGAGTGATGTAGCGGTACCAACAAATTAGTATGCATAATTGACATAGGTAAAAGTGAACACTCTCATAAGTAGTCACTGAGAATAACCACCAGTAGTAGTAGTCTAGCGGCAGATTAGTGCTAAACTCTACTTTATGACAGAATTAATGTATGGGATCTCCATCAAATCGCAATACTAATACAAATCGGCTATTCTGATAATTGTTAGAAAGTACATTAGAATCACGCAACTATTCTTTTTTTTTTCTAAGGAGGGAAACATGCTTAGAATTAATATATGGGATCTCCGCCAAATCGCAATACTAATACAAATCGGCTATTCTGATTATTCTTAGAGATTACATTATAATCGAGCAACTTATAAAAATTTTATTTCTATTTAAAGAATTTAAAAAAAAATGTCAAATTAAATGTAAGTCTGTCTAAGTGTTGTTTTTTTTTTTTGTTTATTTACACGTCTTTTGAGAAAGGTATATTTTTTGTTAGCCGGACGGTGTGTGTAAAAAGTCAAAAGCTGTGCGATTTTTATGAGCATTTTGGATCAAGATTTGCCGCCAAAATTGTTTGCCAAACTCTCATTTTCTTGTGTAAAATTTATGACCCTTTCGGAGCGGGAATAGCCGCCAAAAGTGAAATTTTTAGAAGCGTCTTTTTTCATATATTGGCCAATGAAAATTGAGTTTTCGAGACCCGTAGAAATTCCGGATGGCCCCAAGTGGAGCCGACTTTTTCAAATAAAAGAGAGGACATTAAGAAACGATGAGTAGAAAACAAAATAACGAAAGGGAACCTAGGCTAAGACGACACGCAGTTCGCAGACCACTTAACACCCTCTCTCTACGTTGACCGGCAAGTGGGCCATAAATCAGCCTTTCTCCAACTACCAAAACCAATTCGGCCTGCTATCAACGAAAATTCTTCAAAGAAAGGAGGTGATTGCTTTGTGCGTTCTGCTAAGTGTTGATCTCTCCTAAAACTTTGTCCCTTTCTTTGTATTTTTGTAAAGGCTCTAAAAACTTTATCCCTTTTTTTAGTGTTTTTGTATTTTTAAAGGGTCTAAATTTTCAAAAACCGGAGTTGGACTAAACAACTGATTTCATAGCTTGTTTCTGTGGGTATTTCATTTTTAGAAACCCCAGGAAAATATTGTTATCATGTCGTGTTAGGCGCACAGAAGGACATTTTTGTGCAACCTTTCTTGTTCTTGTGAGTACCTTTGTGCTTATTGTAAAATAATTGTACAATAAATGTTTTTTACTGTTTTTAAAATTTTACGCAGTGATTTGTCTTGTATTTTTAACTCGCGCTTACTAACGGCAGCTATCGTTTATTCGGCGAACTAAATTTTGTGTCTGGCACAAGGAGTTGGTAGCAGAGTGAGAAAAAAAAAGAAACAAACAAAAATTTTTATAAACTATTCTTTTTGTTTTAAGGAGGAAAACATGCTTAGAATTAATATATGGGATCTCCACCAAATTGCAATACTAATACAATACGGCTATTCTGATTATTGTTAGAAAGTACATTAGAATCACGCAACTATTCTTTTTTTTAAGGATGGAAACATGATTAGAATCATTATATGCTATCTCCACCCAATCGCAATACTAATACGAATCGGCTATTTTGATTATTGTTAGAAAGTACATTAGAATCACAAAACTATTCTTTTTTTTTAAGGATGGAGATATGATTAGAATTAAGATATACGATCTCCACCCAATCTCAATACGTATACGAATCGGCTATTCTGATTATTGTTAGAAAGTACATGAGAAGCACGCAACTATTCTTTTTTTTTAAGGAGGAAAACATGCTTAGAATTAATGTATGCTATCTCCATGAAATCGCAATACTAATACGAATCGGCTATTCTGATTATTGTTAGAAAGAACATTAGAATCACGCAACTATTCCTTTTTTTTAAGGATGGAGATATGATTAGAATTAAGATATGCTATCTCCACCCAATCTAAAGGCTAATTCGAATCGGCTATTCTGATTATTGTTAGAAAGTACATTAGAAGCACGCAACTATTCTTTTTTTTAAGGATGGAGACAGGATTAGAATGAATAAATGCTATCTCCACCCAATCTATTGCAGGCCCGGTAGGGTGCAGTGCTGGTTTATTACTAAGTGGTCTTGTGCCAGACACCGCACTAACCGAGTCCACAAGCAAAGTAAAAAAAAAATAAAAATGCGTGAATGAACAACGAAGGAATGTGGTTAGTCCACACGTGCATAAAATAAAAAACATTAACGAAATGACAGAAAAAGACTGGATTCAAACAAGGGTAGATTTTTTTATTAAATTAAAGAAAACAAGTAACTCATCTCATGGTAGAGATCAATGAAAATGTTCCGCGCCGAAATAGAAAGCAAGATGGCTAAAGGCGGGAAAAGTTCTTGAAGAAGAAGGTTCCAGAAAAGTCAATCTACCAGAATATTATACATACAAAGAAAAATACTCACTGCGAGTTTTTTGTTAGTGTGAGTGAAATGTTATGTATATTTTTTTTTGGGTACTGGTTCGAAGCAGGTTAGAGTCCAGTGAATTGAGAGTGTATGTGATTTTTTTGTGTTTTTTTTTTTTGTGTACAAGTTCAAAGTAGGGTCCCAGAGTTCGGTCAGGTCTTGAATTAACTGTTGATAATTTTAACAGGATGCTGTGGACGTCTAGCCAAAAGGACGAAGAGCTAGTTGCGGTCGGTCGCATCGTCTATGAGAAGTTAATTATGGCGAGTCCAGAAGGGCGAAGAATTAATTATTGGTGTTTGCATCGCCTCGAATAAGGATTTGTGCGACGTGCCAAAAAGGACGAAGAATTAATTATTGGTGTTTGCATCGTAAGATATCCCTCGTCTCTCAACCTTAAATATCGACCGGGATAAATGAGGCTCTGCTTAGGTCCGAGTTTGGATCACCACTGACTTTTTGAACCAACAGTTTGTCCGTGACGTCACGGAAATTTCGCGGGAAGATTTCAAAAATCTAATTTGCATAAGAAGGAATAGCAGGTAGCTTGACTGACGACAAAAACCAGTTTACTACTGTGTCTGATTGAAAGAGGAAGGAAGGGGTGTGAAACGCACACGCGCGTAGAATGTTGTAGATGGGATGACTGGTGTTATCCCATACAGCCCTCTCCCTGGATTAAATGTCGCAGACATTTAACTAATAATAATAGAATGTTTCAAATTTCTTCGGAAAGGTGACTTTTCGATCAGAGCTGGTATACTTAGGCTTGTCGAGAGAAACAGGTGTCTTCAAATTCTCCTGAACTTGCGGAGTTGATTGGGAAGTAGTATGGGACGACGATTTCTCTATAAAAGCAGGTTTCAACCGATCTATCGAAACGTTGTCGGTGTGAATACCTTTTTGTATTTGGAAATATTTGTCCGCGCGTTTAAGAACGCGGTATGGGCCTGTAGGCCGGCGTAAGAGGCCGCTTAACAGAGTCGTTACGAACAAATACAAACTCGCAGTCCTGGAGCTGGTGCGGTAAATATATATCACTCGGGCAGTGCCGCGGTGGTGTATAACACAAGTTTGCCATTTTAAGGCGCAAGTCTTGAATAAAAGAGGAAGAAACTGGGGGTGTGGTCACAGCTGGTGAAAAATATTGGCCGGGTAATGATAACGAAGTACCAAATACAAGCTCTGCAGGGGAGCATTTCAAATCATCCTTAAGAATATTTCTTAACGATAGAAGGATGAGGGGTAATTCATCGACCCAATTATTATTCTCATGCTTCGTTGATAGCGAAGCCTTAAGGGTGCGATGGAACCGTTCCACTAGACCATTAACACAGGGGTGATACGCTGTAGTACGTATATGCTTTGCACCAAGGAGTTCAGTGAATTCCCTGAAAAGACACGACTGAAACTGTGCTCCTCTGTCCGTAGTAACCACTTTAGGAGTCCCAAAGATCGAAATCCAATCGCATAAAATAGCTTTTGCGACAGTCACAGCAGTGGTATCTTTAACAGGGATGGCAGTAGGCTATCGGGAAAAACGATCCACTATAGTTAAAAGGTAGGAATAACCATGGCAGGTTGGTAGGGGCCCAACTAAGTCCAGCTGTATATTAGTAAAACGAGCATCAGGCTCACTGAAAGTGCCCACAGGAGATTTTGTGTGTCTATGCACCTTACACTTCTGACATTGTAAGCATGTATTGACCCATTCGCGAATGTGAACGTTCATATTCGGCCAAACGAAACGGTCCGAAATTAATTTAACTGTGGCTTTTTTGCTAGGGTGTGAGAGTCCGTGTAGGTGGTCAAAAACCTGTCTACGAAGAGACGGAGGAACATAAGGTCTTGGGGATTTGGATTTAACATCACAGTATAGGACCTTGTTACTAAAAGGAGCTGGACATTTCTGAAGTTCCAAAGAAGTGTCGGATAACACATGCTTCAGAGTTATGTCCGCTTCCTGTTCGTCGGCGATCAAGTCTTGACTGAGTGCTTCAGTATGCACGACGAACATGTCAGTACGAGATAGGGTATCGGCAACAGTGTTATCCGAACCCTTAATGTACCTAATATCAGTAGTAAATTGAGATATATAGTCCAGATATCTGATTTCCCTCGAAGTGTATTTGTCCGAGTTGGTGGACATAATGGACGTTAAAGGTTTGTGGTCCGTAAAGATAACGAAAGACTTACCTTCGAGGAGGTGTCTGAAATGCTTAACAGCACGAAAAATAGCTAACAGTTCACGAGAAAAGGTACTGTAGCGTGACTGGGCAGGAGAAAGTTTAGCGGAAAAGAACGCTATGGGTTTACGTTGAGAAGGACGGACTTGTTCAATGACCGCGCCTATTGCTGTTTTGCTAGCGTCGGTGGTCAGGTAGATATCCGACTGAGGGTCGTCCTCTAAGAAACTGAGCTTAGAAAAATTGCCTAGAGCGGTTTTAGCTGCTCGAAAGGCGTCCAAGGCTTCATTCTCAAGTATGATAGTTTTATTCTTCTTCTGTAATAAGTTGGTAAGGGGAGTCAGAATGTTTGAACAGTTTGGGATAAATCTCCGGTAGAAGTTGATCATCCCTATAAAGCGTCTCAACTGTTTAATGGAAACAGGGACGGGAAACTCAGTGATAGCTTTAATCTTTTCAGTTATAGGGGCAATTCCATTTGGTGTCCTAGAAATTCCATGTGGTCTGATCCGAAAACCCATTTGTCCAGGTTTAGACGGAATCCGTAATGAGACAAACGTTGAAGAACTTCGTGTAGATGTCGCTTATGAGAGGCAGCGTCCTCACTAGCTATCAAGATGTCGTCAATGTAATCGAAAACGAAGGGGAGTCCACGCAGAACTTCGTCCATCAGACGCTGAAAGGTCTGTGCTGCGTTGGAAAGGCCGAAAGGCATTTTCAAAAATTCAAATAAACCAAAGGGTGTAGTAACAGCAGTTTTTGGGAGATCAGCAGCAGCTACTGGCACCTGATAATATGCTTTTGCGAGATCTATTTTAGTAAAAATCTTTGCGCCTTGTAAACCCGAAGCGAAATCGTGGAGATGGGGAATTGGATAACGATCCCGGACGGTAATGGAATTCAACCTTCTATAATCCACACAAATTCTATAATCTTCCTTTCCTGGTTTAGGTACCGAATGAAGAGGGGAAGCGTAGGGGCTGTCGGACGGACGAATAACACCCTCTCGTAGCATGTCGTCGAAAGCTTTCTTTGCGAATTTTAATTTGTTAGGTGCTAAACGACGAGGACGGGCAAAAACAGGTTGACCCGTGGTCTTAATAAAATGCTGCGTTTGATGTTTAGTTGAATCAATAGATCCAGCAGGACGCAGGAGGTCCTGGTACTGATTCAATAAGTCAGAGTACTCCTTATTGTGGCAAGTTGCCAAGGTGATGCCAGTGGTGGTAAGTTTAGAGTAAGTACCAAGAACACACAGTCTTGTTAAGTTGTCTGTTAGGGAATGGTTGTTCATTCGAACGGCTAGATCATAGTGTGCCAGGAAATCGGCACCTAATATCGGCATCTGGACGTCAGCAACAGTAAAATTCCAGGTAAAGTCTCGTCGCATTCCTATGTTTAGGGTAAGGGACTTCATACAGTAAGTATTAATACTGGAACCATTTGCTGCTTGTAGGCGGAGCTGAAAAGGTTGTTGACGTGCTTTATCACGCACGGGTAATACACTAATGGCAGCGCCGGTGTCAACCAAAAAACGTAAATTATTACGTGTATCCGTCACGTAGAAAAGGCGACTAAGCGTCGGTGAAAAGGCCTTGCCAGCGAGATTAGTCGCTTTTACTCGCTGGCGGTTTTGTTTTCCGAGACCGCAGTACAGGTACACGGCTTGGTGCAGTAATGTGCTGCAGACCCAAATCGGCGGTGGTAATAACACATAGTAGAAGTGGCATCCTTGTTTCGACTGGACGAGCGTGGTCGACTCCTGAAACGCCGGCGGGAAGGGAACCGGCTTCGACCATGGCTTTTAGAGGTAATGTCAAATCTCTAACTTGGCGCTGTAAATCTTCCACTGTTTTTTCTAAGGACTTGTGGTCACTAGTTGCTTCAGCGCTGTGTACTGGCGTTGTTTGATGATCCAGTTGAGAGAAAATACGATCAGCGGCGTCCGCTAACTGGTCGATCGGGGTGTTCTCGGACATAGGCGCCAAAATTTGGGTAATGGTGGTGGGGAGGCAATCCAGCCACAAGCTTTTCAAAATCGAGTCAGCCATAGTATTCTTACCGAGTCGGCTTTTCATAAAACGCAGAAGTTGTGAGGGAGTCCTGCCATCGCAAATTAAATTACTGAATAATTCACGGATTAATGTTTCCTCCGTGCGACCCATTCTTCTTAAGATAGCATCTTTCAACCGGGTGTACGGTTCTACCTCCGGGACGACTTCTAGAAAGTCCGATACTTCGTCGACAATGGCGGGTGGTAAAACTGCCACCACGTGGCCAAACTTTGTTTTTTGGTCTGTAATTCTTCTGACAGTAAAAATAGCTTCCATTTGCAGGAACCAGTTCTTTATATTCCCTTCATGAAAGGGGGGGAAAAGGAGCGACGGCGGCGGTCATGTTCGCCAACTCTTCAGTGTCACTAGACGTCATTCTGGCTATCGAATTTATGCACGTTTATATTTAAGCTTGCTCAGAATTACGTTGGCAAGGTTGCCAATCTTATTGCGTGTTCAATTCACGTCTCGGGTCACCAATCTAGTTGCGGACCCAGGGAGACGAAAAATGTATGTTCGTTAGTAATATATCCCTGTCTCTATTTACTGTTGACTGACGAGGGATAAATGTAAGTCACCTGTTGAATACGAAGTTTTGCCCACGACTGTGTCGTGTGTCTCGAACATTTTCTAGCAGAAAACGGAGAAGGTCTGACCTGCGGATAGCAAGTTGTTTGTCAGTAGGATATCCCTGTCTGTATTTACTGGTTCACTGACGAGGGATAAAAATAAGCCATTAGTTGAATACGAAGTTTTGCTCACGACCGTGTCGTGCGTCTCGAACGTCTTCTGGTCGAAAACGGAGAAGGTCTAAGATATCCCTGTCTGTACTTAAAGTTTGGTTCACTGACGAGGGATAAGTTCTGCTTACGACTGTGTCGCGTCTCGAACGATGGGTCTCAAACGTTTTCTGGTCGAAAACGGAGCAACTGGTTGACCTGCGGGTAACGTCAAGATGAGAAGAAATCTTGGTAAATAAGTGTGGGGTCAACATCGTTGAGATAAGATATTCCGGCCCGCATATGGGTTAAGGGCACGGAATAAATGAGTTGCCCGTCTAGTCAGGTTGAAGATCGGGAAGCAACTGGTTTGCAAACGCTGGCCGTTTTGAGACGCCGCGAAACGCGCGGGAAAAAATTCAAAATCTATTAGTCTGACTTCATCAGTAGGAGCTAGCGACGGTTACTGCTATGTCTACCTGTGAGAGGAAGAAAGGGGTGAAAACCGCGCGCACACACGCACGAGTGTGAAAGGAAGGGAGGAAACTCGCACGCGCGTAAAATATAGATGGAATTAATGTGTTAATTCCATATAGCCTTCTCCCTGGATTAAATGTCGGGAGGCATTTAACAGATAATAGTATAAAGGTCTCGGAGAACTCTCTGACTTCAGACGTCATGCTGGCTATCAAAATTATGCACGTTTAGGTTTTTTAATCTGACCCGAAAGAAAATGACCTGTCTTTCATATACGAAATAAGTGTTCCTCAAAATTCAAGTTGGTATGTTACCAATCTTATTGATCAGAAGTACGTCAGCAAGTTCGCCAATCTTATTGCATGTTCAATCACGTCACGGGTCACCAAACTTGTTGCGGACCCGGCAGCGTGCAGTGCTGGTTTATTACTAAGTGGCCTTGTGCCAGACACCGCACTAACCGAGTCCACAAGCAAAGTAAAAAAAAAATAAAAATGCGTGAATGAACAACGAAGGAATGTGGTTAGTCCACACGTGCATAAAATAAAAAACATTAACGAGATAGCCTGCACAGAATGACAGAAAAAGACTGGATTCAAACAAAGGTAGTTCTTTTTATTAAATGAAAGAAAACAAGTAACTCATCTAATGGTAGAGATCAATGAAAATGTTCCGCGCCGAAATAGAAAGCAAGATGGCTAAAGGCGAGAAAAGTTCTTGAAGAAGAAGGTTCCAGAAAAGTCAATCTACCAGAATATTATACATACAAAGAGAAATACTCACTGCGAGTTTTTGTTAGTGTGAGTGAAATGTTATGTATATTTCTTTTGGGTACTGGTTCGAAGCAGGTTAGAGTCCAGTGAATTGAGAGTGTATGTGATTTTTTTGTGTTTTTTCTTTTGTGTACAAGTTCAAAGTAGGGTCCCAGAGTTCGGTCAGGTCTTGAATTAACTGTTGAGAATTTTAACGGGATGCTGTGGACGTCTAGCCAAAAAGACGAAGAGCTAGTTGCAGTCGGTCGCATCGTCTATGAGAAGTTAATTATGGCGAGTCCAGAAGGGCGAAGGATTAATTATTGGTGTTTGCATCGCCTCGAAGAAGGATTTGTGCGACGAGCCAAAAAGGACGAAGAATTAATTATTGGTGTTTGCATCGTCTCGAAGAAGGATTTGTACGACGAGCCGAAAAGGACGAAGAATTAATTATTGGTGTTTGCATCGTAAGATATCCCTCGTCTCTCAACCTTAAATATCGACCGGGATAAATGAGTCTCTGCTTAGGTCCGAGTTTGGATCACCACTGATTTTTGAACCAACAGATTGTCGGTGACGTCACGGAAATTTCGCGGGAAGATTTCAAAAATCTAATTTGCATAAGAAGGAATAGAAGGTAGCTTGACTGACGACAAAAACCAGTTTACTACCGTGTCTGATTGAAAGACGAAAGAAGGGGTGTGAAACGCACGCGCGTAGAATGTTGTAGATGGGATAACTGGTGTTATCCCATAAATCTCAATACTAATACGAATCGGCTATTCTGATTATTGTTAAAAAGTACATTATAATCACGTAACCATTCTTTTTTTTTTTAGGATGGAGACAGGATTAGAATTAATATATGCTATCTCCACCCAATCTCAATACTAATACGAATCGGCTATTCTGATTATTGTTAGAAAGTACATTAGAATCACGCAACTATTCTTTTTTTTTAAGGATGGAGAGATGATTAGAATTAAGATCTGATATCTCCACCCAATCTCATTACTAATACGAATCGGCTATTCTGATTATTGTTAGAAAGCACATTAGAATCACGCAAGTATTCTTTTTTTTAAGGGTGGAATCATGCTTAGAATTAACATATGCTATCTCGATCAAATCGCAATACTAATGCAAATCGGCTATTCTGATAATTGTTAGAAAGTACATTAGAATCACGCAACTATTTTTTTTTTTTTTAAGATGTAGATATCATTAGAATTAAGATCTCCACCCAATCTCAATACTAATACGAATCGGCTATTCTTCTTATTATAGGAAAGTACATTAGAATCACGCAACTATTCTTTTTTTTAAGGATGGAGACAGGATTAGAATTAATATATGCAATCTCCACCCAATCTCAATACTAATACGAATCGGCTATTCTTATTGTTATTAGAAAGTACATTAGAATCACGCAACTATTCTTTTTTTTAAGGATGGAGACAGGATTAGAATTAAGATATGCTATTTCCACCCAATCTCAATACTAATACGAATCGGCTATTCTTATTATTGTTAGAAAGTACATTACAATCACGCAACTATTCTTTTTTTTTAAGGATTGAGACATGATTAGAATTAAGACATGCTATCTCCACTAAATCACAATACTAATACAAATCGGCTGTTCTTATTATTGTTACAAATTACATTAGAATCACGCAACTATTCTTTTTTTTTAAGGAGGAAAACATGCTGAGAATTAATATATGGTATCTCCACCAAATTGCAATACTAATACAAATCGGCTATTCTGATTATTGTTACAAATTACATTAGAATCACGCAACTATTCTTTTTTTTTTTTTAAGGATAGAAACATGCTTAGAATTAATATGTGCCATCTCCACCCAATCTCAATACTAATACGAATCGGCTATTGCGATTATTGTTAGAAATTACATTAGAATCTCCAACTATTTTTTTTTTTAAGGATAGAATCATGCTTAGAATTAATATGTGCTATCTCCACCCAATCTCAATACTAATACGAATCGGCTATTCTGATTATTGTTAGAAATTACATTAGAATCAAACAACTATTCTTTTTTTAAGGATAGAAACATGCTTAGAATTAATATGTGCTATCTCCACCCAATCTCAATACTAATACGAATCGGCTATTCTGATTATTGTTAGAAATTACATTAGAATCACGCAACTATTCTTTTTTTTTTAAGGATAGAAACATGCTTAGAATTAATATGTGCTATCTCCACCCAATCTCAATACTAATACGAATCGGCTATTCTGATTATTGTTAGAAATTACATTAGAATCATGCAACTATTCCTTTTTTTTTAAGGATAGAAACATGCTTATAATTAATATGTGCTATCTCCACCCAATCTCAATACTAATACGAATCGGCTATTCTGATTATTGTTAGAAATTACATTAGAATCACGCAACTATACTTTTTTTTTAAGGAGGAAAACATGTTTAGAATTAATATGTGCTATCTCCACCCAATCTCAATACTAATACGAATCGGCTATTCTGATTATTGTTAGAAATTACATTAGAATCACGCAACTATTCTTTTTTTTAAGGATAGAATCATGCTTAGAATTAATATACATTATCTCCACCCAATCTCAATACTAATACGAATCGGCTATTCTGATTATTGTTAGAAATTACATTAGAATCATGCAACTATTCCTTTTTTTTTTAAGGATAGAAACATGCTTAGAATTAATATGTGCTATCTCCACCCAATCTCAATACTAATACGAATCGGCTATTCTGATTAGAATTAGAAATTACATTAGAATCACGCAACTATTCTTTTTTTTTTTAAGGATAGAATCATGCTTAGAATTAATATGTGCTATCCACCCAATCTCAATACTAATACGAATCGGCTATTCTGATTATTGTTAGAAATTACATTAGAATCAAAGCAACTATTTTTTTTTTTAAGGAGGAAAACATGTTTAGAATTAATATATTATCTCCA